TTCTCAGTTGATCAACGCTCCAGCCCCGGATCGCATGCCACGAGGCGAGCCTCCGCAGCCTGTTTTCCTCCGTCACCTTGTCAGGGCTGCACAAGACCAAGCCTTACACACAAATGCATGGTAGGCCTCCACCACCTCCAGAAGTTTTGGAACGCCCAGGTTTCCCTTTTCACTTCATTTTCCACACCATTATTGGCATTTTGGTCAGTTCAACTGGGAAACTGCTGCGTTGGTTCTGATTCACTGTCACGCAAGCACGGACCTTGATGTATGGCCAGAGGGAAAAATCACGTTTTTGTTCAGTTGTTGTGTCCACTCATCACTCACAAAAACCAGCGCAGTCTCAGAACAGTCCAGGCCATGTCGATCGTGGACCGCCTCGGACATTTCCATCGAAAAGTGTCTTTCAGAACTTTGCCCACCACCAGCAGGGACTGTGGTGTTGAACATGTTGTGAACCTTGCTGCGGCGTGACGTTCTTCCGCCTGCATGAGAGGGTGCTTGGATTGGTCCTCAAAAATCATTGTTTTCGATCTGTTTGACGATGTAGTGCAGCTTGGAATGCCCTGTGTGGTTCCAGAAAGAATTGGAACAGCAGCAATTTGACGTCTGGGTCATGCATTGTCAGGAGGCCATTGTGCAAGAGCTTCGCGTTTCGCCTCCAAATTTTTTTGGACCGCCAACATTCACCGCTGCAACAAGGTTGCCGTTCGCCACAAATTGTTTTCAACCAACCCTGTTCATGAGCACTGCGCACCACACTCAGTGACCTTGTCAGCATTGTGCTGCAGCCACATCTCTGGGTTTTCTTGCACTATGGAAGTTTGTCAGCAATTTGATGGAAGACTGGAAGGTTAGTTACGGCTGATCATGACCTTGAAGCTTTGTTTTTCTTTTTTCTGTTTTTGACCCCCTGTGTACAGTGTTTTTCGTTCTTTTTCACGTTGCAGTCCTTTTTCCCGAATGCGTAGCGAAGGGTTCTCGTTTAACTCTTGGGGGTCTGGGGGTGGAGCCTTGTTCGTGACCCGTTGTTTCTACGTCCGCAACCGTCCGCAACCATCCGCAACCGTTCGCGACCGTTCGCGGTAGAGTGCTAAGGCGCTGCCATTGGGGGAAGCTTTTGCAAGTGACTTTTCATGGATGTGTCACGTGTCAGTTTGCGCCGCTATTCCATTGTGATTTGCATGAAAAAGACATGTCGTGCAAGCAACGTGATGCGTTTCGCTGCACAGGCGCAGCGTTTGGTGAGATCTGCAGATTGCTGCGCAGTTCCATTGGGATTAGCGTTTGGAGAGCGTGTTTTTGGGGTGTTGGATGTGGCCGCGCCATTGGGATTTGCGTTTCAGGGTGTGGCATCGAAGCTCTGTTTTCGTGACAAGTCTCAGCTGAAATGCCGACTTTGGTGGATGGGAGTGTGCTCAGAACGGGTCGAAATCATTCCAAACGTGTGGTGTGGTGCAAATTTTGTTGAAGATCACATGAGATGACATTGTTACTTTTCGTGGCAGGCGCAGGACTTTGTGCGGGTTTTGAGGTGTGGAAGTGGGATTTTCGTGGCAGGCGCAGGGAATCGTGAGGTTGCGATGTGTGACGGAGGTGACATTTCGTGGCAGGCGCAGTACTTTGTGCGCGTTAGACGTGTGGACGGAAAGATTCGTGGCAGGCGCAGGGAATCGGGAGGTTGTGAGTTGTGGTAGAGGTGAATGTCGCTGTCGCATTGGGATTGGCGTGTGAGCGGGCGTCGTTTGGAGGGGCTGGAATCGCGAAACTGCTTGGCAGGGCTGCGTGATGTGTGTGCTCCGATGGGTGTTTCCGCTGGACTTTTGGAGGAAGTCTCATGCGAAACGTTCGTTTTGCAGACTTTGACATGTGAGTTTTTGAGGAAGTCTCGTACGAAACGCTCGTTTTGGAGACTTGACGTGTGACTTTTGGAGGAAGTCTCGTACGAAACGCTCGTCTTGCAGCCTCGCAGCGTGACTTTTGGAGGAAGTCTCGTACGAAGAGTGTGCCCCACAGGAGTGTCCCACAAGAGTGTCCCACAAGAGTGTCCCGTATGAGTGTCCCACAAGAGTGTCCCACAAGAGTGTCCCGCATGTCCCACAAGAGTGTCCTACAAGAGTGTCCCACAAGAGTGTCCCGTATGAGTGTCCCACAAGAGTGTCCCACAAGAGTGTCCCACAAGTGTGTCCCACAAGAGTGTCCGACAAGAGTGTCCCATAAGAGTGACCCACAAGAGTGTCCTACAAGAGTGTGCAACAAGAGTGTCCCGTAAGAGTGTCCTACAAGAGTGTCCCACGAGAGTGTCCCACGAGAGTGTCCTACAAGAGTGTCCCGTAAGAGTGTCTCACAAGAGTGTCCCACAAGAGTGTCCCGCAACCATGTCCCACAAGAGTGTCTCACAAGAGTTAAGAGTGTCCCGCAAGAGTGTCCTATAAGAGTGTCCCACAAGAGTGTCCCACAAGAGTGCCCTACAAGAGTGTCCCACAAGAGTGTCCTACAAGAGTGTCCCACAAGAGTGTCCTACAAGAGTATCCCACAAGGGTTTCCTACAAGAGTGTCCTATAAGAGTATCCCACAAGAGTGTCCCACAAGAGTGTCCTACAAGAGTGTCCCACAAGAGTGTCCCGCAAGAGTGTCCCAAATGAGTGTCCCGCAACAGTGTCCCGCAAGAGTGTCTCACAAGAGTGTCCCTTAAGAGTGTCCCACAAGAGTGTCCCGCAACAGTGTCCCACAAGAGTGTGTCCCACAAGAGTGTCCCACAAGAGTATCCCACAAGACTCTCCTACACACGTCTCCCACAAGAGTGTCCCACAAGAGTTTCCTACAAGAGTGTCCCACAAGAGTGTCCCACAAGAGTGCCCTACAAGAGTGTCCCACAAGAGTGTCCCACAAGAGTGTCCCACAAGAGTGTCCACAAGAGTGTCCCACAAGAGTGTCCTGCAAGAGTGTCCCACAAGAGTGTCCCACAAGAGTGTCCCCAATGAGTGTCCCACAGGAGTGTCCCACAAGAGTGTCCCACAAGAGTGTCCCACAAGAGTGCCCTACAAGAGTGTCCCACAAGAGTGTCCTACAAGAGTATCCCACAAGGGTTTCCTACAAGAGTGTCCTATAAGAGTGTCCCACAAGAGTGTCAGGAGTATCCCACAAGAGTGTCCTACAAGAGTGTCCCACAAGAGTTTCCTACGTGAGTGTCCCGCAAGAGTGTCCCACAAGAGTGTCCCACAAGAGTGTCCCGTAAGAGTGTCCCACAAGAGTTTCCTACAAGAGTGACCCACAAGAGTGTCCCACAAGAGTGTCCTACAAGAGTGTCATTTGGGCATATGTAGCTTTTTGAACGTGTTTGCATTCGGGTTCGTGGGCTCCATCTTGTTTTCTCTTTGTGGTTTGGCTCAAAAACGTGCACAAAATCAAACAACTTGGAACCTCTTTGCTGTTCTTCTTTCTGCTCCCCGCAACACATCTGGCACATCGTGTTGCAACCTCTTGTTTTGCCTTGGAGAGAACCTTGCACTCGGATTCAGTCAACAGCCTGGCTGCACTGCTTGCCAACTGCCGAGGCACAAAAGGCCAGGTGCTGCGGTGCAAGTTTTGTTCGTATTGGCCAGCTGCCCTGAAGTGTTTTCCTTGCAAAACCATTGCGGTTCAACATCAGAGCCAGCCGTACTCTTCAATTCATCTCTAGTGATCTTCTTGTGGTGAACCTCAAGTCCATCTCTTCAGTTCACTTTTCGGCAGGTGAGATGGCGGCTGATGTTTGAAAAAAGTGAAAAATCTCTGATACACGCAAATTTGCCACTCATTGTCTCCAAAAAACCTTCGTGAGGTGTTTCACAACGTCGTGTTGGGTTCCGCATACTGTGCCTTTCCACTTCAGCTGCAATGGCCGGGGAGCGTTGAAACATATGCATGCAAGGTGTGTTGTTGTTGTTGTTGTTGTTGTTGTTGTTGTTGTTGTTGTTGTTGACTTTGTCTCTATTTTGTGACAACGTGTGTGGATCCCGCATTCTTTTGCTTGTCGCATCGTCTGCAAGTGTGTGCACCAACCCTTGTGGACAGCGTCAATCATCCCGCTCCCCAGCGACACGCCGTGTTCACACACGCATTTGTTTCCAATGGCACGGAGCAACGCGAACACACTTTTCAAGGCCGTGCAAAGCCGCATGGCACAGCGACGTCGCAAACGTATTTTCGTCACACAGTACCACAGAGTGCCCAGATGCAACAATGCAACACCGCGCTTCGTTGACATCCCCAACCATCCTGCTTTCCAGCGACACGCCATGTTTACGCCCGCATGATTCCCCCAATGGCAGGGACTCACACGATTCCACCGAGGCTGCGAAAATCCGCATGGGACAGCGACATCTCAGACAAAGCTTCGCCGACTGTCTGCAGACCCTAAGATGATCTCTGCAGCCAAAAGCCATGGGTTGTAGTCGATGGGTTGTGACATGTGAATGTGTTGAATGCCCGCATGACGCAGGCCCAAGACAACTTAAGGACAGCTCATGGTCAGGTAAATCATGAAAGGCAGCACAGGCAGGCGTTGGCTCCACATGTTGCATGTTGTGTGTAGTCCAGAACATCATTTGTCTTCGAAACGTTGTTTGAATAACGCTGTCATGTTTTGGTTTATTCAGTTGCAAAGTCACAGAGGAGATGGTTAATCGGCAACCCCGTGCTTTTTGTTTTGTGAGAAGAACCAAGTAATTGTCTATAGTCAAACAAGGGCATTAGCATGGTTCATTGTTCAGAAATTGTGGTTGAAGAGCAAAGTCTTGCAACGCTAAGATGGGTATGATGTGTTAGGCACGCATCTACCCAAGCAGGCGTTTCAATTTTTGTTTCTTTTTTCTCCACACCTTGAAAAGCGAACGGTAGACTTTCCAGTACAAGAACCCGTCTCAATCCAGGCTTTTGAGCGGATTCTCCATTGAATGCCCAAAATGTTCAAGTTTTTTAGTTTCAAAGCGTTTGAACAGAACACATTGCAGAACTGTCGTGGGGATCTTCTTCTTCACAAAGTCTCGCCTTTTCGTGCTCTTTCTGATGGCGAGCTGCTTTTCTGCCTGCTGGCCATGGGCCAAGAGGCCTGCGTCAGGCCAAGATCGGCGGTTCGGACAAGTCCCGTGTCCCGGATGGGTCCGGCTTCCGGAGAGGTTGGGGAAGTCCCTGTAAACCGGGGATGTCGGTGGTGTCGAAATCAAAGCAAACTCCAAAGGCTAGAGGAAAGAGTAGATGAAGACCCCCTTGGTTGGGTATCCGGCCTTGAGGACATACCCGCATGGATCACCACCTGAACTGACCTGCATTGTTTGGATTTTGTTTGTTTGTTTGTTTGTTTTTCTCTTTATATAGTTTGCTTATATATACCAAGAAACAAGATCAGTTTCCGCCGCAAGAGCATTTGAAGGAATTTTGATGGATGTTTTTGAACATCGAAAATTCCAAAGTAGGGATCTGCAGGTCAAATCGAGTTCTAGCAAAACCTGGGTTTGCTTGTGTGGAACCATACTTGGCTGGATTGCTCGACTTCTTCAAAAGAAAGGATGTTTTGCTGGCAGATTCACAGGAGGGACAACTAGCTACATATGTTCCAAACTGGGTTCCATTGGTTTCAGAAAGTCTGGGTGAAACAATGGTATGTATAATACATCAAGGTCAATCCAGGTATTTTTCTGTTTAAGGTTCACTTGAATACTCTATGCTTGTAGAGTCTTGGTTTGCTCTCGAAGTGACCACGCCACGCGACAGCTCAACGGCGGACCTCAACTGATTCCAGAGGGATGCTGGGCAGACATAGCGACGCCGGCCTTCTGAAAGAGGACTCGATCTAGGACGAAAGAGATGTTGTTTTGAATTCTGATTTCCTATACTTAAGTATATTATATATACTAGTTACTATATTTTCATTCTGAAAGGGTCTCCTTCTCCAAGTATTTTTTGGCGGCTCTACCATGAGTTGGTGGAACCCACCACCCAACATCGACGCCTTATTTCAATCATTTGGAGCCAGTACATTGCCAGTAAGCCACGGGTCAGGAGGCTTTTTTGAAAAACGCTCGACGATGGTGACGATTTTGCTGAGGAAAGGATCGAACCGGCAGAGCTTCTTTAATCTCTCACACACCAAGAAAACGGAGGCCCGTCTCTTTCTTTCTTTCGTTCGTTGGTTTCTTCCTTCCTTGATTGAATGCTAAGACTCGAAACGCTCATGTTACCGTTGTGCCAGGGGAACAAGTCAAATGCCATACCGCGCCTGGGCAGATTTTTTGTAGGGTCCTTGGGTTCACCCATGGTTGTATGTGGTGAAGACCACTGACAGGAGATGGCTTGGAACGATGCAGCAGGGGCTCCTGAGTTTGAGTGTCCAAAAATCGGCCTTCTTCGAACCCCTGCGTTTTTTTGCTAGAGAAGGGAAAGCTGCGCCAGCAGTTACGCACATGTTCATCTTACATGTGTGTATATGTATATATATATATACATGTACAATGCATATATTCAGTTCCCATGTTTTGCTGTCAGGGAGGGATAAGGGTGGGGCCAGGATGATAGCGTTCCTGTTCATAGCTACGGAGTTGATGTTCTGGATGATATGAATTTTTGCTGAGGTGAGAATGTAGCTTTTGAAACATATATACAACTCAATTCATTTTCGCGCGGAAATCCGCCACAATGATTTTGCCAAAATGACCAATGACTCATCCGTGTTAAGTTCGGATCTCCGAACTTGGTTCTTCGAAAAGACTCCTCAGTCCGCTCAGGGCATGAGGAGGTCGATTCCTTCTCAGTTGTCCTTTCAGCTCCCTGTTTCTGCCGCAAGAAGCCAAGGCCGAACAGAGCGGCCACCACATTTTCCTGAAGTTGTTGGAGTGCGTGCCAAGAGAAAGGGACCCAGCATCCTCCAACAGGTCTCCTTTAGAGGGGGCCCCCAACTCAATTGGTGACAGTGAGGATGCTGGTACCTGGCCGGTACCTGGCCCAATTGACATTCTGCGAATTCTCTTTCTTCCAAAATCACCCACTCCACCGGGTCGACCTGTTGCTCCGTCGACCAACGTTCGACACGGTCGCCGGAAACGCACGAGGAAGGGCCCCTCGGTCCTGGACAAGGTGCTGCGGGTGGTGGGCTCAAGGAAGGAGGAGCCCTTGGCCGCCATGAGCGAGTGGATGGAAAAGACGGCGGACCCGCAGGCGGGGCCCGGCGGGCGGGGCCCGGCGGGCGACTCTAGAACGCTGAACATTCATGTAGACTCTTGATGGGATTACAAGATCCCCAACCCTCAAGAGGTTTTACAATCCATGTCTAGGGGGGTTGAAATATCATCAAGAGTCCGCTTTAAAAAAATCCGGGAGGTGGAGCGGGGGGGCAAAGCCATGCGGCAAGGTGTTCACCGGCACTTTGATGTTTCTTGTTTCTATTTTTACTTTTATGGGAGGGGTAGGCCGCTAGGAGGCTAGGTAGCTAGGTAGCTAGTAGAAGAGGTAGCGAGGTAGCTACTACCTGCAAGTAGCTACAGTATGGATGCAGGATAGCTCACGCTTCTTCAAGGAAGCTCCCCCAGCTGCCTTGAAGAAGCGATCACACTAATGATTTGGTTCCTAGATCTTTAGAGAAACTTGACTAATAGCAATGGCCTGGGGTATCTTTGGTGTTCTTGAGTGATGGGCAATTTTCGTCAGTGATGAGTGATGAGCTCCACGAGCTCTCAGTTCTGTTCTTCATTTTAACCTGAAACAATATGTGATTGCTCCCTGCCTTGAGTGACCATTATTGTATACTTGGAATCGAACCCTCACTGCAGGCGGATTCTAGCGTTTGGCAAATGCCCGTTTAATGTGACGTACACTCTTTGTCGCCCCGAATTGGGATTGTCCTTTCACTTTACTCTCATTTAGACATCTACATCTCTTTAATCTCTTTATATACACACGATGATGAGAGTAAAGCAAATCCACCGGCATATTTTTACGTAATTGTTTCTTCGGTTTATAGATTTATACAACAATACCAGGGAGATTATTGGATTGCCGCTTTTCAGCTGGAAAGTGTTCTAAAGGAATTTGGCGAGACTCCAAACGCCAGCGACCGGACCATTTAGCTCCCAAACGCATTTCCTCGTTTGGTCGTTCCACTGGTCCAAAACCCCAGCATCACCCTCTGGTCATGTAAAGACGAAACCTGCGGACGAAACGAAAAGCGAACCGCCTTTGAGGCGAGTCGGTGTTGGCCAGGTAGTCTCCAGAGAGGCCATAATCTTGGTCTTGGTCGGTCTACCTGCGCGTGGGAAGTCCTTCATCTGTGGCGCAGTGGTGAGGCCCCACTGCTACGGGAGAGGGTAGTGGTTGGAATAGTCAAATTTTAATAGTGACTTTTTATGTTGTTTGACACTTTCCAAGTCAACATGCAAGCTTTTCTTGGTCTCTCCTTTGGAACGAATAGAGATTTGGGTCCATCTCAGGAGGAACAAGGGCTGGCAGTGACAGCCGTGGACGCTCTATCCGCTCTTTCTTCACCTCCTTGCCTCCTCCGGGTATGTGTGTCCTGCTTGTCCATGTTGTCGGCCCTATTATCAACGCCTTGTCCGGGCCTTGTCCCCTGCTTGGCCACGCTGTTTTTCCTTTCTCATCTTTCTCCACCGCCTTGTCTGGGTTTGTTTTCTTCTTGCGGCTATGAATGCAACAGTGATGAGTGATGCTGCCTGTTCCCGCAAAAATGGTTTTGTTTACACCCCTTTTGGACGCTAGACAAACAATTACAGACGTTTCTACCAACATTGGAATTCAAGGAATTGGCCCCAAGAACCTTGCAACACCCGTTTGGGGTCTCTGGGCCTCCGGCATGAAAAAACCGACGGTGGACTGGACGAGGATGGACGTGCGGGTGCGGAATTTCAGCATGAATGAATAATGAATCATGAATAATGCTCCTAGTAGCGATGCCAGGAGCCCCTAGTAGCGTCCTTGCTCCCAGTAGTAAGGCCAGGAGCCCCTAGTAGCTTCTTGTTCCTAGGCACCTGAAGTTGTTGGGCGTGCGGGTGCGGAGCTTCAATGCTGGTGAGCTAAGACGGGAGACTGGGAAGGCTGGCATCGAGGCGCTGTGGGCGGGGTTGGTGCTGAAGATGGGAGTGTATTGGGGTACAGTGATTTGGGTATGTATTATAAGAGATAGGAAGACTTCAGGGGGTCGAACTGGGAGGTCGGCCTATTTTAATGCACACTCATTTCTGGCGAGTTGGGGCGAAAAAGTGTAGCCTGAGAGGGTGGAGCATTCTGGTGGCCAATGGTCAGCTTTGGAGTGTGGCAGGGGAGGAGGTCCCAAGTCTGTAGGATCGAAGCCTTTCTTTGGGGCAGGAAGAAGGATCGAAGCCTTTCTTTGGGGCAGGAAGAAGGAATCGTGATCCCTCCAGTGGTCAAAGATCTCCTCCAGCCACGAGCACCAGGAGATTGGACAATTATTGGATCTGTTGGGTTGTATATCTGGGTTATCTCCAATCAATCTTGTTGGTCTTGCTTTGTGTCAACTGGAATGACTCATCTACAAGAAGTGCATGGAAGGGTCCTGGACCACTGCACCCTCACAGCGTGGTCCGACCCATCGTGTGTCAAAATTGGCAAAACGTGGCACCTCGAACGAAGAAAAACCAATGGGTGGGTGACACGCATTTTGATGGCCCTTTAGGGCCTGGCAGCCCGGTGATGCTCCGACGGTCCGGACAGCTCGCTAAAAATTGAAGCCGCCAATCGTCTGGCTCACCAGTGATGCCGTGCACTGAATTGCTGCCCGTAGCCTCTCTGCGCATTACACTGTATTCAAAACACCCACACCTGTTTTTGAGCTTGCAGCTCACAGCTTAAGCACTATGTTTGCGCAACAAAGCATCCAGTTCTGAGGCACAGCTCCCAGGAGCCTCACCGTGTACAATTTCACATTTGTGCTTCCCAAATGTCAACTTCCAACAACTGTTCTTTAAACAATCCAGCTTCCATTTGTGATGACAGTTTTACACACTGGCATCCTAGAATTCCTTTCTGGACAACTTTGCAATGCCCAACACCGATTGTTGACCACAGTTTGACACTTTGGTTTTCAGGACAGCTTTGACACCCTCCCTTCGGTTCGGATCTGGTGGTGCGTTGAAATTGGGAGGCCGACTTCTTTTCCTCCTCCAATCTGGAGGCCTTTAAGGCTGGCTCGCGCCGAGCCGGCCGACTCTTCTGGAGTTGGGGGGTGAAATCGTGAAACCCAGGCACTATATGTTTTGGCATGGAGTACTCTGGAACTCACATGGAAGTGGCTTCGCCTGCCGTGCCGTTTGGTATGCGGAACATGGGACAATCCCAGTCTTCGGGCCCATGCCATCCATTTCCAGTTCCCGGGTACTCCAAGTCCGACATGACAATCGCCACCTGGACGAGTGGCGTTGGATGAGCCGATCGGACTACTTGGACTGCTGAAAAAACGCTTTAGGATGCTTTACGGCTCTCCCAAGTGAGAAATCGAAGTGGGACAGATTTGCCGTGGCCCGTGGTTGGTGGAGTTTTGGTTAGAGTAAAAGGCCGCATAAGTGGGAAGAACAGAGGTGTCAAGACTGGAGCTCAATACTTGAAGATTTCAATTTCAACTATAATTGGTCACTGGGTACTCTATTTTTCCCGAATGCGTAGCGAAGGGTTCTCGTTTAACTCTGGGGGTCTGGGGGTAGAGCCTTGTTCGCGACCCGTTGTTTCTATGTTCGCAATCGTCCGCAACCGTTCGCAACCGTTCGCAACCGTCCGCAACCGTCCGCAACCGTTCGCAGGTGTCCGCAGTAGAGCGCTAAGGCGCTGCCATTGGGGGAAGCTTTTGCAAGTGACTTTTCATGGATGTGTCACGTGTCAGTTTACGACGCTATTCCATTGTGATTTGCATGAAAATGACATGTCGCGCAAGAAGCGTGATGCATTTCGCTGCACAGGCGCAGCGTTTTGTGAGATCCGCAGTTTGCTACGCAGTTCCATTGAGATTAGCGTTTGGAGAGTCGTGTTTTTGGGGTGTTGGATGTGGCCGTGCCATGGGGATTTGCGTTTCAGGGTGTGGCATCGAAGCTCTGTTTTCGTGACAAGTCTCAGCTGAAATGCCGATTTTGGTGGATGGGAGTGTGCTCAGAACGGGTCGAAATCATTCCAAACGTGTGGTGTGGTGCAAATTTTGTTGAAGCTGACATGAGATGATATTGTCACTTTTCGTGGCAGGCGCAGTACTTTGTGTGGGTTTTGAGGCGTGGAAGTGCGATTCTCGTGGCAGGCGCAGGGAATGGTGAGGTTGCGAGGTGTGACGGAGGTGACATTTCGTGGCAGGCGCAGTACTTTGTGCGCGTTAGACGTGTGGATGCGGAAAGATTCGTGGCAGGCGCAGGGAATTGTGAGGTTGTGAGTTGTGGTAGAGGTGAATGTCGCTGTCACAGTGGATTGGCGTGTGAACGGGTGTTGTTTGGAGGGGCTGGACTCGCGAAACTGCTTGGCAGGGCTGCGTGATGTGTGTGTGCTCCGATGGGTGTTTCCGCTTGACTTTTGGAGGAAGTCTCGTACGACATGCTCGTTTTGCAGACTTTGACATGTGAATTTTGGAGGAAATCTCGTACGACATGCTCGTTTTGCAGACTTTGACATGTGAATTTTGGAGGAAGTCTCGTACGAAACGCTCGTTTTGGAGACTTGACACGTGACTTTTGGAGGAAGTCTCGTACGAAACGCTCGTTTTGGAGACTTGACATGTGATCGCCTTCCCTTTGGCATTTCGAGATCGCCCGGTGCATTACCCTCCATGCGACCACATTAAGTGGCAAGAGGGAAGGATTCGGCTTTTCAGAGCGGCTTGGGAGTCTGGACCTGCACCGACTCATGGATGGCTCATTGATGCCAAAGCTCAACAATTGCAGTTTGGGTTTGTAGTTGATGCTACGCTCGAGTCTGTCGGTTTGGTGTTCCGTCGACCTGGACCACCCAATCCCGAGGGCAATGTTGCAATTTGCGAACTCTTTTGTGGAGGTTTCGCCGGCTGGGCGCAGGCTGCGGCTTTTTTGAATGAACATGAGTTACCAGTTAGGCCAGTATTCGCTCTCGATCGAGATTGTGAGTCAGCTGAGATTTATGCGATCAACCATGCACCTTCACGCCGAGTCTGTCGCCGCCCCCTGGAAGCCGTGCAGTCTTTGCAAGATAACACTCTCAGTCCCACAGAGCCCATGGTGTGCCAGTGCGACGTTAGAGAAGGGTGGTGGTTGCAGTTCACTCCAGTTGTTGACGTTGTCACAATGCCCCCCCCGTGCCCAGCCTGGAGCTCAGCACATGTGGCTTATGGGCTGACACGACCTGATGGCTTTGACACCGTGGAGGGTCTCTTCAAAGCCAGATTGCTATCTCCCCGTGCTATTGCATTTGAGAATGTTAAGAACATGCAATCCCACGCACATTTTCCAGTGCTTGAGGAGGTCATCCGATGGCTCGGTCTTCGTGTTAAGTGGGCTAGTGTGGTGAACCTTGCCGATGTCTTGCCGCAGGCTCGTGAGCGATTGCTAATGACTCTGATCCCAGCTGATGGTGATGTCAAACCTACCTTCCAATTTACATCATGGAGGGCCCGTGATCACTTGAGTCTGCAGACCTCAGACATTTTGCGCACAGCCGGATGTTTGTCACACACCATTTCGCCCCCGCTTGATGCTGAAATTCTTCGGATGTATCTCCACCCGCAATATGTGCCGGGTGATCGGTGTGGTGATTTCAAGACTGCAAAAACGTATCGGCTTAAGAACGAGCAGAATACGTGTGCCTGTGTCCTGGCCCATTACGGATTTGCTCATGAACTTGGTGAGGAGGTGAGAAGCAAGAACGGACTTTTTGGAAGCCTTCTAATCTTGAATGATGAAATCCGGTGGTTCAGTCTTCCCGAATTATGCAGTTTGATGGGTCTCCTTCGTCCTTGGACCGCTCCGAGTGATGCACGCATATCATACCATATGGTAGGAAACGCTATTGCTGTGCCGCATGCTCTTTTGTGCCTTGTCAATACTATAGGTCAAATGCAGCGTGCTCCTTGGATGAGTACACCCGTTGACATCGTCGATCGAGCTCTAGACCTTAGCCTCACAGCTTCGCGACAAGAAGTTCTCCTGTGGAGGGATCAAGGCAAGATTCACATCGATCGGTTTGCCGTGTCTCCGACGCTGCAGTGGTCTTGTGACACTCCACGGTTTGCTCTGTGGAAAATCCCTTGTGGCCCGAATTTCCAGCACATACTTGTTCAACCAGGTCTGCAGACGGCTCGTGTTATCCGTTCTATTTTCCCGCATGCCACAGGTGCTTCGTTGAGGTGGAGGCCGGCCAGGTTCCCAGATGTTCAGATTCCTCTGACGGTGTCAGATCAGTCGGGGTTTGATACCATGGCATTCGATGGTCTTTTCGGACATTTTTCCATTCAAGAGAGCGATTTTGTCCGTTTCAGTCGTCCTTTTGTCTTGGTTTTCACTCCTGACCAGATTTTTGTCATGAGCAAGCAGTCAGGTACTAAGATCCATGAGATCCACCATCAGCTGCTAGATTATTTGTCCATGGATGATGCAGCATGTGACATTTGGGGGACCCCAGCCAGGCCTGATTCGTTATGTCCAGACGCTATTTGCTTCATGTCTCCGATTAAAGACACACCTCCATCGGACTTTCTGAGCAGCTTATTTTGGCACCGTGAGGAGTCTTGCCGTTACGTGGAGGCGGAGTACTCCGTGCTCTTTGCCTATATCCGTTTCGCTCAAGACACAGGACTTGCATCGATGATCGAGTGCCTTGGATGGTCCATGTCCATAGTACCAGCATCCGATGTCCGCCGTCCTCTCCCACGCCTATTATGGCAGCCAAAACCTAATAGGCCTGCCGTCCATGCTGATGTCTTTGACACCTCTTTCACCACGAGACTTGCCCAGGCCCTCTTTCCACAAGATATCCCAAGTTGGGAGGCTGTCCACATTTGTGTCAAATTCTGGTCTCTGTGGCAGCCGGTGAGGACACTCAAGAGAAGCACCAAGGTGGAGGACATTCTAAGACCATGGTCCATTGCATCTCGTCATGTGGGCAAACCATCCCATCTTCGGGCCATTTGTCGTGGACTAAGACTTTCGAATGAGCAAACATTGTCTTCATACCTTCCGACTTTAGATTCTCGTGAGGTCATGAGGGTGCATTTTGTACTTGAACTGCAAGGGGGAGGGAACAAGCTCGAGGCGCACCAGAAACTTCGCCAGTCCACTGTAGAGTTTTTACTTCAGTCTGGGGCTGATCCAACCTCCGTAAATGCATTTACTAAGGACTTGTACGAGAAGGCTGGTTTTGCACGCCTGCAGCACACCATGCAGTTTCGAGACCCCGAAGAGAGACTATCTCAGTTGCTAAGACTTGCCAAATCCATGCACGTTCGTCCCATTGCCATCGAGTCTCCGGACTCTGAACGTCTTAAGAAGCTCAAAACATGGAAGCCGAGGCACATGCCTTCTTTTGCGACAGTACATGCAGCGGACTTTCGGATCCATCCAGAAGCTTTTGTGAAGTCAAATAACCAGCCGGCCCCTATTTTGGGAAGTCCTGAGGCCACCAAGGACGGTGTGATCCTCCTTGATGCTGAGTGCGCCACTGACTTTGCTAAGTCCCTCAAGCCACAGCCAGACAGTCTGGCCATTGCTGTCGTTGGTCGTGAGTGCACTCTCGGTCCTGAGGGGTGTCAATCCATCAACTTGCCTGTTCTTGATCGCCATGACGCACAAGTTATCATCAAGGCATGCCTGCACCAGTGTGGTAAAAATAAGATTACCTTGAAGACCAAAGCAGGTGATGATATCCCAATTGAAGACTCTAAACTTGTCGCTGTGACAGCCTGGCGCAACGAACTCTCGAGTGATTCCTGGTCTTCCTTGGTGCAGAGTCCTGCTAAGTTCTGTGCAACGCAGTTGTCCATTACGCCATCGGAACACTACAGTGTGTCGCCTTGGGGTCGAGTCTTCAGAGATGAAGGGACTGTCTGCGAACCGGACTCCGCAAGTTCATTCCAATACCATGTGCGCATTAAGACCACTGGCCTTAACGCCATTCTCAAGCGTAGTGGTTTTGATGGCATCTATGTCACTCCGAAATCGGAGACTCTTAACAGAGCAGATGAGG